CCGCTGGAGCGCCCCGAGCCGGCTGGTTTTGGGGCTAAGCCACCACGTAGAGGTGGTGAAGAGGGGGAAGACCGCCAGCAGGGTCGAGGAGAGCCGCATCTCTCCTCCTCAGCTGGCCATTACTCCCTTTCCCGAAGGCGGTAGGAGCGGTGGTCAGAAATGGCCACCTCAAAGAAGAGCTCAACCGGAAAAGAACGTGCAGGAGGAAGATAAGAAGTGAAAGTTTTGGCTGACTGGGCTAAGTTGAAAAAGCAACAACCAAGGTACCCTGGAATTTAAATTTTACAAGAAATAACATCGCTTCCAAAGAAGAGTCAGAAGCAGCGAAAGAAAGTGAAAAGGGAAAGGTTTGGCTTTTTTTTCTCTTCTCTCTCCTTCCTTATATTGACAACTAAGAGACCTAAATAAGAAATTGGAAAAATCCGCTTTGGCATCAATAGGCAATTCAGCTGAAAATATAACTAAATGCCAAAGGGATAATAAAGATTTCTGGACACTTAAAACTTTTTCTTCTATAAGCAGGAAGGGAGAGAAAAAGAATAAGGGCAGGATCTGGAAGAGGGAGGAGACTGCCTGGACTTTAAAAGAATCTAAAGTAAAACTTCAATAAGACTTCTAAAAGATACATTTTAACTGAAACTTTGCAACTAAATAGTAACCCCAGGAAGAGAAAGTGGGGAAAAAAAGAAAGAGCAAAAAGAAACAGCTTGCGTGTATTTGGATTACTTGGTGACTTTTGGATTTTTGGTTATTATATTTGAATGACTAAAATCAATCGGGTGGTTGTTTAAAAATTTCTGCAATGGCATCACTTTTGGATGAATTGAAAATGGAACTTAAAAAGTACAAAGAAGATGCACAAGAAGGGAAGGGTTCTTTTGGCTTCGTTTTTCAATTCTTAGAAATGGAGATCTGGAACTATGAGAAACAACAAGAAACGCCTGCAAAACAAGAAGACTGGGACAAAGAAGAAGCCATCTTTAATGAACAAGTAACTTTATGTGGGGAAGAAAAAGGAAAGTGGGGAAAGAGGATGGAGAATTTAAGATTTAAAAAAACAACCAAAGAAAAAGAAATAATTTGAAAAGTAAGTATAATACTGGAAAGCAACAGAAAAGGGGAATACAGAAGAGGGAAATTGAGGTAGAGAGACAAAGGGGTAAAAAGGGGAGAGAGAAGAAGAGAGGGAAGAAGGAAAGGAAAAGAAGTTACAAAGGTCTGGAGCAAGATATAAAGAAACAGGACCTATTTAGAGATAATGGGTGAAAATTTAACTGAAAAAGGGATTCTGTAAAGGTACATAAGATTGTATTGTTATATTAGTAATAGAAATAACTTTAGAAAATTGGAAACAACATATGATGAGAATGAGGGATAAAATAGTTACTGTAATTTAGTGAAATGTTGGTGAATAAAGTAAATGAAATAAAATAAATGAGAAAATTGAATTAGGAAGGAACGGGAACATTTTAATTAGTCAATGTTTTATAAAATATAAGTGGAGAGGGTTCCCATAGAAGTATGATATTTAATTGAAAAGTAACATGAAAAATGTTAAGACTTTAATGAATATTAATATTAATGATAGAATTGAATTGGAATGGAATGTTGTTTTAATTATATACATTTACAACTTTTTTTCTTTTTTTTTCTTTTTTTAAGAATACTGTGTGTAGTTTAAGAATGTACCAAGCAGAATCCGAATGGAAGTTATGTATTATAGTGAGTGTTATAATTTTAGGGGAAAGATATAAAGGCGTCATACTCCAATCAGTAACTACAGGAGAAATTTTGTATAATGAGAAAAGATGATAGACAATTGAAACAGGACAGACAAAAAATATAAATATAATGTTTTGAATTGAGATGAAATAAATAAAATAAAATTGAGAAAATTAAAAGAGGGGAGAAGCCATGTAGAAAATGTAAAATAGTAATAAGGTATGGAATAGAATATAAAAATGAGCATGAACTTGAATTTGTGTCTGTACGAAGAAATGTAACCCGGGATTATGCTGCTTTCAAAAAAGATGTTTTATTTGTATTTCTTTTTGTGAAAACTCAAATAAAATTTACAAAAACAAAAGACACTGAAAGAAGTGACTTACGACCATTTTTCCAACAACTGCTGTACCATCTCGATGGTCACATGATCAAAATTTGGACACTTGACAAGTGATATGTGTTTATGAAGGTTGTAGTGTCCAGGAGTCATGGGATTTCCTTTTGCAACTTTCTGACAAGCAAAGTCAGTGGGGAAGGCAGATTCACTTAACAACCATGTTACTAACTTAACAACTGCAGCGATTCACTTAACAACTATGGCAAGAAAGTCAGTAAAATGGGGCAAAACTCACTTAACAGCTGTCTTGCTTACCAACAGAAATATTGAGCTCATTTGTGGTTGTAAGTCAAGGATTGTACTTCTTTTTAAACCATTAAAGCAGACTTTTCTTCTGCAAGATTCAGGCTCTTTTGAACATTGTCTACAATTATCTGCCTATGTACACACAAACAATATTTCATCAGTGCCGGAACTGCCATTGAAACAAAGCGGTCGTGCTTTTACATTCTCCAGAAGGGTGTAAGGATAAGCTTCAATGCAGCAGCATAATCCCAGGAAATTTAAACAGAGGTCACACAATAATGCCCTTTGGGAAACTGTTCTTTCAGAAACATATTCTGAAATTTCTGCTCTAATACAGCTAAGAACACTTGATGGATCAAGTCACACACTATCTGAACAAGGAATATGAAATATCTGTTCCTCCTAAAAAATGTGGGAGTTCACATTTTAGCTTATTTCTTTTTTTCACCCAGTTCTTAAAAACAACTGGAATGTCTATTGCAAATAAATTAAGCAAGTAAACATGAAAGTACAAGGTAAAGAGAACATTTTATTTAATCAAAAGTAATCATGCCAAAGAAAAAGCATTGTGAAAGTTCACTGTTGTCACTCTGCTTAAACCAAAATGACTAGTGCTGAATATTCTGAAGTTTACCTATTATTTTACACTTCATTCTGCAATCAAATAGCTCAAGGCAACCTGAGAGGCAACTGCAAATAAAACTCTGCTGCTTCTCTTTTCAGGGCAGGCTGCCAATTAGGATTGAGAAACTTTATTTTTTTTTTTCACACAATAAAATATCTGATGTTTCTTGGCATACTCTTTATATGGAACACTTGGCAATTATTTCTTATACCTGCATTTAAAAAACTGCGAAGGGTTGCTTATCTGGCATCTTAATAGAAATGTTCCAAGCACAATACTAATCATGCACAATGGCTTAGATAACTTCATAAATTAATTCCTAAGACTAGGATGAGCTGCAGCAGTTCTGCACGTCCCGGGGGCTTCATCCTTTGCCTCTGGACTTAAGAGAAATGAGGAACGAAGGACAACTTCTGTGATGGTGCACATCCTAAATACAGGTTATGGAACATCTTGACCATTTACCTTCTAAATTGGATGAAATTTCAACTCTTAAACTCCCAAATTCCAAAGTTTATTTATTTTCCCTTTGTTTTGAAAAAGAACAGGTACCACTTTAAATGGTAATCAAACCCTTTTCTCTATGTATTTGAGTCTGCAAATTAACCAAAGCAATAAGAATGGCTTGCAGTCAGGCGGCATTTACATTTAATAAATGAAATTATCTAATGGCAATAACAATTTCATTTCAGGATGCAAATTTTTATTCTTTTAGGTATAGTCTTCAAACAAACAAAATGCAGATTACCACATTTGCTCAATAAAATAAACCAAAAGAATGATAGGATTAAGTTTGCAGACCTTCCAGAGTCACTTAGGTGGGATAGGCAGTATAGAAATTTCATAAATAAAAATATCCAACAACAACTCTAATATTAGTGGGTACCGTAACTTGACCTGTCAGTGCTAGAGAGGCCTATGGTTGTAGGCCTCAGATTGAAGTCTCCGGGCTCAAGGCATTAGTTTGATTAATGCTGTGAGTGGGAATTTGACTGCTATTTGGTTTTCCAAACCTCCTCTATTTGAAGCTTTTCATTTATTCTCCCTGAGTTTCAAATTCCTCCTTAGAAATTCTACCACAGCTTCTCCTAACCCCAAGAAGAAGGCTTGTGCTGCAGGCAATCTACACACGAGTAATGATTTAATTCGCCCTCAACCCATACTTTGTAGCAGGAGTCTCCAACCTTGGCAACTTTAAGTCTGGAGCACTTCAACTCCCAGAATTCCCCAGCCAGCAAAGCTAGGAATTGAAGTCCTCCAGGCTTAAAGTTGCCAAGGTTGGAGACCCCTGCTTTGTAGTAATATACAGCTGCTGAACCCATGAATCCGGTTCTGGAGTTGAATGTGTAGCTATTGCAGACAGAAGTATCAGACATTGTTGCCACAATGTTAACAAGGTAAGAAAATCTGGATCAACTTTTGAATCATTGTTTAGAAGCTTACCAAAATAGCAAAGGTTAAATTAAAAAAGCCTGAATAAAAGTAGTTTTCAGCAAACCAGATATAAGAATTGGAAAGAATCAGTTCCATTCTAAACAATGTATTATATACACACACACCAGTTTTTGGTTTTAAAATTCAGTGGACTCTTAGATATAACAACCGGATCAGTTACCAATCTTCGGACTATTAGTAGATAAAATTCTTCACGCAACAGAATGTCAGGATTTACGGTATATATCCACCTTTTAATCAATATGTCATAAAGAATAAAATGACGCTGTACAATGTTCAAGATCTGCAATCCAAATAGTTAACTTAGAAAAAATTCTTACTGACTGGAATCAAATTTACTCCCAAGGATATGTGCAAAGGATTGAACTTTTATATTCTTATGGCCATATTGGCTTTTATCATACAAAGGGATTCAAAGCCAATGCCAATGACTCCCACCCAAATTCACTTCCATCTGTCATGGATCAACCCATAATGGTAATGTCAACCTACCAATCAAATACAATCCCAGTTAAATGATGCCCCACCCAGCTTATTAACTTATTAGCCTACCTGCAGCTCCTTCTCTGAATACTTCTGAGGATTTTTGCTTCCTTGGCTCTTCTTCCGAAGCTTCTTTAATTCACCCTGGCATTTCTCTACTCCGTCCCCTTTATTCCTTTGCTCGGTCTGGTACTTCTTTAGTGCAGCCTGAAACATGGAAGATGTGTGGGAATGCTGAATAGTTGAAATAATAATAGGCTGAAGACATGGGCAGAGATTTCCCTTTTGGGTAATGAGCATAGTTTATATGCTTCCTGCAGGCAGAAAGGTCTCAACCTTATACCTGCTGTAGAGGACATGTTTTGAATGAGGGTGCATTGATTAGAAACAAAAGCTGTCTTCCTTTGAGACATGCCAAGAAAGCATTTCCCATGAGTCCAGGGACTCTAATTCCAATACACAATTCAATACACAGTGCAACCCTTCCCCCCCCCCCACTATGTGAATCTTCTTTAAAAATAGAAAAAAACTAAATGAGAATCCCTATGGATTTAATTTTAACCACGAGCATCCTTAAAAATATGCAATAACTAAAGCATAATTTGTCTGAATAAAATGATTTGAATAAATGTTTGTTTTTCTTACAGCACTTATTCCAATGCTTATTCAAATGATCTTGAATAAACATTTCTCTTAATCTGCATCTTGCAAAAACAGATGAAGGCACCTGCCAGTTCTTGCAAACTCATCCCTACTATAAGCAGTTTATAGTTTTGTTCACTGTCAAGTAGCTGAACTTTGGTAGCTTCATAATGCCATGTTAATAACTACATAGCTACTAATCCAATTGACATTCAATAAAAAATGCTTACTACTTACGCTTAGATACCGTGAATCTAGCTCTACTTTCTGCTCAAGCTGTGTTAGTAGTTCATTGTGGAAGGACTTCAGCTGAGAAGTGAACCGAACAAGCATAAATATTATAATTTATCACTGGAGGAAAACTATAAATAAAAAGATAATCTACATTGATACCAAACAAATCATTACAAGTGGTTGATAATAGAAAACAGAATGGCAAATAAATATGGTAAAATGAAACGAAATAAAATAAAAGCAATGAAGCAATAATGGATAATTGGAATAACAAGCAATGAACAGTGTAAGTAACATGGATGAATTCTTCCTTAGAGCACAGTTTTTGAAGATATTCTGTAGCTGGAGACTACTTGATTCAATTCTACCTTGAAAATAAAGAAGTGTAAGACATAAAAATAAACATTTCTCATTTCTAGTTAGTAGCAGGTTATCTGTTAACCAACTTCCCCACTAGGCTGAGATTCAACATATTTCTATGGAAAATAATCTCTATTTCTTATTCTTTTGAGTAAAGCTTAATTGGCCACTCTACTTGAAAGTCAGGGAGTAATTAAGGACATACCTCTCCTAATTAATCAGGAAGCTACTTGAAACCAATCAGATTTCTTGGACATTTCAAAAGCCTTGAAAACTTGCAATTTTGTTTGGCCCACAATTTATTCAATTGAGGTCCTTATTCTTACTTAAAGGATTTGGCAGCTATTCTACAGCAGATGTGTTTCAGTTTTAAATCCATATGTATCAAAGGCTCTGCAGGCTGCCCATTGGCCAGACTCTGCAAAAAGGCAAGTTAATAAGAACACAAGCACTTACCATCTCTTCTAACTGATTTTGAATCTGTCTATGGACTTCAGCCATCTGGAACAGAACATCCCCTAGAAAAAAGTAAGACAAAAGAAGAGAGACTAAATAAAACAAATCCAAGAGACTGCTCTGTATCAACCTTCTCTTCCCCCCACTCCCCACTCCCAAATGCAGCCTTAGTTAACAGTTTCCCTTTGCTGAAACAAAGAAAGCTTATTTCAAGGATTCATTTAAGACTAATTTCGATTGGAAGTGAATATACAACAATGGCATCCAGCCAGGAGAATGAAGACAGGAAAAGCAAAATTGATCCTTGATGCCTGGCTGGTGTATGACAATAAGCAATGTAAAACATAGCGTAATATGCAATTAAAGCTGCTCTGACTTGCTCCACAAACTATGATTTATGTCTTGGTTTAGTTTACATGTGACTGCAACCAGTGCATGTTTTGCTCAGGCTACCAGATGGCCATTCCTTGCCAAACACTGCAATAGCTAAAGATGTTGTGCCTTGTGTTTATTGATGAATTCCCAAGAGAAGCAATAAAGGCTACACAGTTTTTTGCAAGTTATTTATTCCCTTGGAACCTCTCTTTCAGATCTTCAACCAAATGAATTTTCCTAAAGAAGACACAGAGTCAACATTGGCCTCGCTCCCAGAGAAAAAAAGATCTGAAAAGTTAACCCTTTACAGTTTTGCTAAATAATGGGCACCTGCCACTGCTCCCCTCCAAACGCATTCCATTTAGCAGGAGCTATTTGACACCAGGCCTTTTAAAGAATAATGGCTCCTTTCAAATATATGCACGTCTGCTATGGAAATATCTCCTATCTCTGATAATAGCTACTGCTAGCTAATTATATTCCAGTTAAGGAGAAAAAAATATTTGAAGCAGCAACAGTAGCGTAATGCCTTTATAAAGGTGGGTGCAATTTATATAAATATTGGAACGTTGCAATTCACAGGACAACCTGAAAAACTAGTAAATATCAAAATGTGCATCTTGGAATTTTGTTATTCTATTTACAATTGAACAATATGCTTAAAATTTGTGCACTGGGGAAACTGTACCAAATGTTAATTTAAGGAAAAGTATATATAAAAGTACTTGCAAAAATGTGCAATAGATTAGATGTGTACATTAGACATGTTCATGCAAATACATACAAATATTTCTGCAGATGTTTTGAAGTTTTGGATGGATGGAGGGAGGGAGATGTTACCAAATAGAATTTACAGTCAGTGAAATGAAAAAAAATCCAATAAAAATACACTTGAATTACATGTTAGTCTTGACAAGAATTTACTAAAAAAAATTTTTTCACAAAGTACTGATCCATTTCTGGAGGTCTGCAAAATTCTTCCAACAAAATAATATCAGAATGTGGAATGAGCACATTAAGCATAGATATGGTGGAAATCCTACGCAGTTTGTCACAGATTTATACAGAAATAGGAAAGGGGCATTTTGGATATTGAACCCAAACGCCTCAGAACCTAAATGTAAGCATCCAAAACAGATGGCTATCTAGTCTGACCCTGAACATATCCATTTCATTTCCTACACTATTGGTTTCACTGCTACACTTCTTGCTAGGAATATTTTTTTTTCTACCATTCACTTAGTTTTCCAGTAACTTAACTCTATTATTCCATGTTCTGCACTTTGACAGGCTAGAAAACAGATTATGCAGCTTCTTCTAGCATTCTTTCAGGTGTTTGAAGTGAGCTATTTATCTTCCTCATCCTCTCAAAGTTAAATATACCCTGTTTCTGCAACGTCTCTTCTTAGGCTCTATGAAAATTGGATCATCCTGTTTTCAGTTTCCTCAGCTTGTTTATCTGATTCCTTATCAATGTTTAAAACCAAATACAAGATGTAAAATAGGTTTGATAAACACAGAATATAGTAATTACTTCCCATGATCTGGAAACTATATGACTGTTCTTAATGCCCTAGAGGTTAGAGTTTTGGGGCAGGATTAAAACTGTTTTTACTGCAAGAAGTGTTATGAGATATGTTATGCCACCTCTGGAATAAAGAGCTTGTATGTCCTGACTTAAGACTTTTTTTAATTAGTGTGAATTTAGTTACATAGTTAACATACGAAATTTAGTTTCATCATTCCACTGTAGATCAGAATCAACAATAATATGACTTTGAATTAACTAATGTATACTGAAAACCATATTTCTTATTGGCTATGCTGTAGTGTTTATAGTCTTTTAACATAGAATAATTTCAATTTTCAGGCATAAATTGCTTAAAATAATTATTATATCCATTTTTCAGTAATGGACTATTGATAAAATATTGTCTGTCAAAGTAGGAAGACAGATGATTTTCAAACAGTATGGCCAATGTTTTTGGAACTGTTTGATTCCATAAATAATTGGAGAGGCACTTTTTTTCTTTAAGAAAAATCATATCAAATTAGATATAGCCATCTATATACCAATACATTGTTCTATTTCCATTGTAAAGAGTCTTGCTCTGTTAAATTTTATTCTGCTGTTTTTAGCATGTTTCCCTGATCTGTTTAAAATAATTTCCATTTCTTAAAACATTAACTATGTTGTATTATCTGATAACTTCATAAATTGTGCCTCCACCTCTTAAACCTTTAATAAAAATGTTGAAACTGCAAGGCTGTTATGCCAATCAATACCTCACCCCAATTTGACGTGGTATTATAGATACATATTTTGCTTCACTGTGACTTTTGAGCCAGCTATGTTTCCATTTAGTAATAACATTCAATGTACATTAACTAACTACTAATCAGAAATCCCTTTGTTCGTTGAAATCAAGATATATTACGTGTACTGCATTCTCACAATCTACTAAGAAAGTGACTCAATTTAAAAAAATAACACAGCCTGGCAACATCTGCTCTTGAAATCATGGTGATTTCTAGTTCAGGTAGTCCTCAACCTACTATTCCTTTGGTGGCAGTTTGAAGTTACAACGGCATTGAAAAAAGTGACTTTTGGGATTTTTTTTTTCACACTTAACAACCGTTGCAGTATCCCCATGGTCACAATAATCAAAATTCGGACACTTGGCAACTGGCTCATATTTATGATGGTTGCAGGGTCCTGAAGTCATGTGATCGCCTTTTGTGACCTTCTGACAAGCAAAATCAACGGGGAAGCCAGATTTACTTAACAATTGCAGAGGTTCACTTAATAATGGTGGCAAGAAAGGCCCCCAAATGGGGCAAAATTCACTTAACAACTGTCTCACTTAGTGACAAAGATGTTAGGCTCAATTATGGTTGTAAGTCAAGGACTACCTGTAATTACTACAATCTTTCCAAGGTCCTTATAGATTTATTGTTTTATGATCTGCTTTAGAAATATACCGGATACTATTATTATCTGATTAATCTACAGTTTCCCCAATCCTGCCTTTTCTGCGTGTTAAAGAAAGGGACATTTGTTTTTTGCAATTGTGTTCATCTGTTCTCCAGGATTTTTCAGAAATACAAGGTACAGCCAGATCATCAGCAAGTATTTTTAGTACTCTAGACCAACAGAGATATAAACGCATTCAGAATGAAGAGATATTCCCTGGTGGTATATTTGGTACTCCCAAAGGTGTCTTGAATGTAGCTCTTAGGCTAGAAGCAGAACTGATTAGAGTAGATACAAGAGCTTGCCTGGTTATATTTATTTATTGGCTTAAATTCATCTATCACCCCCCCCCCCACACACACACACACCATTGCTCTATTCTGTTTTAAGTTATACCTTTCAATCAACTGTGGATGAAGTTCCTTGCTTTCACGTGGCCTCTCTCTCCCACTTTAAATAAACTTGGCTCATATTAAAAAAAAAACAACCTAATAGCTAAATAAGTACTTGAAATTGAGTTGCAGTATAATTTGAACTGATTTCCCAGCTTTTGCACAATTAACCAGAAAGGTATGGCTCTCTGTCTTGACTCACTGACTCATCTGAACTATCGGTGGGCTTTATAGGAGTTGCTGGAATGAGCTCCGTATTGTTATAGGGCAGATATTGCAATCTTCTTGTGGCTTATCATCTCTATCTATGTGGCATACGTTCTTTTACATTGTAGGTTTTATATCATATTGTGTCAAAACTATATCGCTCTCCTCTTAACAGCAATCCCTAGTCAATCCGATATTTCCTATGTTGATTTCCTGCTTGCTGACATTGCAAAAAATGTGTTATTTGGTCACAATATTCCTGCAGGGGATCTGTACTAGAAAATAAGATAGATTGCTTTGTATGCTTTTCCATTGTTTATTTACTAGGCCTTTTTTCTATTCCTTTTCTTTTACCTTATTGATTGCTTGCTATAAGAATATAATAAAACTGAAATTGAATTGGCTATCAGTCACAGCTTCTATTAATTATAAGCTTCAACTCTTCCCCAGTGACTTGCCACAATTTCTATTTCTTGTGTGTGTATATATGTGTTTCAGATTTACTGAGCCTCTTTTGCAGCTACACTGGTGTCTTCTGTTGTTTTCCTTGTTAGAATATTTCAATTGCATTTTTAGTATTTCCTCTTGATCCTGCTCAGTGCAATTATCTAACAGACAGAACCCAAAGCGTCTTTTCAAGGAAAGACTGAGCCAAAACATGATTTGAATAATTCTGCCTTTTTATTATTTCACCTTAGCATTTTGCCATTTTTATTCTCTTTCTTTTATTTTGAACATATTTGAAGGAGTTTTTTTTATGTTGTTCAGTTAGTTTTAGCTTCCTACCACCAGTTCTACATTTGTAGGTTACATATAGCTAACCTTCCCCAGTGACTTGTCACAATGTCTATTTCCTGTGTATATATATATGTGTTTCAGATTTACTGAGCCTCTTTTGCAGCTACACTAGTGTCTTCTGTCATTTTCCTTGTTAGAATATTTCAATTGCATTTTTAGTATTTCCTCTTTTAGGAACTCATATCCATCTTGACCTCCTTTTTCTTCACTTCTCCTGCCATGAGATGTTGTCTTTGCTCTCTAGTTAGTATACTGAAGTCTTTTTTTCTTGAGGTCCCAAGAAGTGTGTTTAATTATATTAAGTTTCCTTTAAAAT